GGTTTCAGGATTGTTGATTCTCTGTTTGGCTTAGTTTTTCGGATCTTTGTTGTGGAGGGACGGCGTGGTGCTTCTGCTTAGACCGCCATCTTGCCGGAGTCCCGAAGCTTACTTTCTTGGCAAATGGCTTTTACCTTTCTGAAGGGTCCACAGTAACCTGCTGTTGACATAGTGATTTAGAGTCAAACTTAAAACAAAACGACTTTACTCTTAAAATATAATGGCATATCATCAAAATAACTTTTCAAAAGAGTTGTTATAGAAATAATTTTTATGGACAAATACATGGCACTTGCTACGTTAGAGCTATTACCACCAATCTTAACGACACTGAAAAATGTTGTATTTTATTTTGTCTCCCAGTGGTGATTGTCTCTGCTTTGTTTTTATCTATATTACATAATTAAAAAAAAAAACTTGGCAGAACCTAATGTGATGTTGCTGAAAGGTTACACATCTTAAGTTGCTTCACATTACTTTGTCCTAATTTAGAAAATATACATTTTAAAAAGATAATTAAAAGAAAATTTATTACGAAAACAGCTTTCTTGTGTTTCGCTTTTTGTATATTCATGAACTAGGTTTTTCTTTTGGAATATTATAAATTTGATAAATTACTGTAAACTTTTCATGAGGAAATGATCAAATTTAGAATATAATTTACTTTAGCATATTCAGTAGCATTCTTTAAAAGTAGGTTATTATCAATTATAGCAAAATATCTATATAAGGAAACCCTGGTGGCATAGAGGTAAAGAGCTATGGCTGCTAACCAAAAGGTCAGCAGTCCGAATCCACCAGGTGGTCCTTGGAAACTGTCTGGGGCGGTTCTACTCTGTCCTATAGGGTCCTATGAGTTGGAACTGACTCGACGACAACAGGTTTTTTTTTAAATTTGCATTTAACTTAGATAGACCTTTAATTACAATAAGATTTTTTTCCCATTGTTTAAACAGAGACTGCAACTGCTGATTTAAAAAACTGTAACTTTTCTCTGATTTAAAAAATTACTAGTTTTCTTTCTTTTTAAATGGCTATAGGGAATGTGCTTCGGTGTGAGCTTTTGGCCTCACAAAGGTAAATATTTTTCAGAATATTTAGAAATGTGGGCTTTTTACCCTAAGAGCATCTATGTTCAGTAACTAAAATAGTGCGAAGCAGTAAAAAAGGGAACAGAAAAAAAGGAAAGCTGACGTACTTGAAGCACTGCTTTAATTGATCTGATAGCTTTTCTGATTCATGACTGAAGAGAAGAGAAAGCTGGATAAAGTACAGTCACCCTCTAGTTTAAAAGTTTTAAGTTGTTTAAGTTATATGAGAATAGGCTAACATGGAAGTAAACCTTGACATTTTTGATAAGTGATAAATTCTCTTTTACTAACATAATTTTGTTAAGATATTAAGGTAATTTAAATAAAGCATATATTGAGAATCTGTTGCTTTTTTTTTCTCCCAACAGCTACTATTTTGTCCTGTGGATGGATTATTTATCTCACCTATTATAACTCTCGAAATGTTGGTCTTATTTTAACATTGGTTCTTAACAGATTATACAAACATGGCTATATCCATATTGGTAAGTAAAACTGAGTTTTTTTCCTCTATTTAATCTTGAGATTTATATTATAAATTTTATTTTATAAACTGAGAGTAGCTTTAGAAATGTATGTTTGTTTCATGCAGGTTAAACTAGTGTAGTTGGAGTTTTTCTCATGTAGCATTCCATGACTAGAGACAAGCTATCACTTGGTTATGTCCCTTACACTGTTTTTACAGTGTTTCTAAAGTAATTGTTAACTTTTAAACTTTTTTTTGCTTATAAAAGATGCTCATTTAAAGAATTTGAAAATTGAGACATATATAATATATAGAAATATAAATTTCTTAGTTCCATCATCCAAACAATTTTTTGAATATATGTAGTTTCTGCTGTTTTTTAAATAACCCATATTTTTTAAAAAAATCATAATTATGCAGCTGTAATCTAGTTATATATGTATTTCAGTTTGTAGCCTGATTTACTAATATTTAATTTTACTTCATAGGTATAAAGTTATCTGATTTCTGGTTACCTATAAGCCGGAAGTTTCCTAGTAGATAGGAGGGTGTCTTAGGAAGCTATGTGCTTTGGAAAGCCCCAAACCACTGGGAAAAGGAGGCGGAGTGGTTTCGCTGGATAGAACCATTGCCACTTTCCATGTAATTGAGTATCTCCTAGTGGACATAAATAAAATTTCCGTCAAACATAGGTAGTCTTCCACTAATTTGAGGGTATAGCTGGTTCCTGGGGCCACACACATCAATAGAAGGAAATGGTGAGTTCACTGCTTTAGGTTTATTTGGTGGTTGTGCATACTTAAGGGAATTATCCATCCAAAGCAACTACTAAAACTGTTATTCTCATGTGTTTATCTAGCAGCTCATTCCAGTAGTGATGATAATTACGTCACTTGTTTTTACATTTGAAGAAAGAATGAGGGGAAATTAGTAAGGCTGTAAAGATATCAGGATGGGAGAGGGGAGAGAACTTTTAATTATTGAATAAATTGAATAGTAAGATTATTTTAAACTTTAAAGACTCTGCTATCAAAACAATTACGTTAATTGCTATTGTTTCCTTCTACAACAGGCTCCTTCTCTTTCTCTGTTCTTTCTGGAAAAGTCATGGTTCGTGAAATTTATTACATTACAGAAGACATGTCGATTAGGTAATAAAATGAAGAGCCCATTTAATAAAACACAAACTTAGAAATATTGTAAAAATTTCTGTTTATGATAAACTATTTAATTTGATTTGCTTCTTCAAATAAAACTATAAATTAAAAATCATCTTTTTAGTAAATAATACCTAGTGAATTGATGTTTTAAAATGTTATTATCAAAGGATTAATTTAACTAAGGTTTAGACTGGCAAAAAGTTTATTGAATAGCAGCAGCTTATAAAAATGAATAATGATCTCATTTCCATTTCATTCCTAAATGGAAAATTGAACCATTAAATTATTATCTGACCATTTCTGTTGTAGAATTCATAGTGATCATCTGTTATATAAAAGAAGAGTAAGGGTTGTTAATAGCTCTAATCCATTAGCTCCTTACTGGAGCTAATAAGAACTTATAATTGTTTAGCATCTGTTAACAACTCTGATTTTACTCTAAGAAGGAGAGATGCATCTGAATGTAATGAGAAATGGCAATTAATAACATGTTTGAATCCTTGAACCAAAAGCCTACTGTTTTTTTAAAAATGATTTTCTTAAAAGTTGTAACTTAGATAGAATATGAAATTTTTGAATTAATTGAGAAGTGCTAGGGTTTGGCAGCACCTATACCTCATTTAAAATGTTAGGAATCAACTGTGCAAGTCTAAATTATTTCAAAATTGAAAGGAAAAGCTAAAAATTAAGAGACTATAGTCCATTCTTTTGGGGGCATAAGGTGATATGTGATTTACAGAAGTGAAGGAATAACTTTACAAGTTTCCTTTTAATGTGCTAAGATCCTCCTTTCAGGATTTGGCTTATTGTTTATTTAATTTTTATACCACTTAAAAATATTATTTAAAAAAACAGTTTCTCTGATAGCACTTCTTTGTCCTGTTAAATGTAACCTGGCATTAAATTTGACCTAATTAGAATAATCTAATTTAGAGCTATGCAAATCCTCTTTTACATTTTCAACTTGATGATTATGAAACACTATAATTTATATCTGTTAGTTCTTAAAAAGGTGTGTGTATATTTAGGTACACCAGTGTCCTTTTGATTATTTTCTGTATTTCCTTATTCATTATCAATTAACTGCCTTTTGTAACAACTAATTAAGAAATGTTACTTAAATTCTTATTTTTGTAATTTACCTTGTTTAGAATTCAAGATGGATTTGTCATTTTTCGTTGGTGGAAAATGTATAACCCAAAGCAGAAACAACATGGTGAGTTTCTATATTTTCATGTGTGTAAGATATCCAGTCATATTATCAGAGTTTTCAGTTATGGATGTTGAAATGTTTTCCATTTTTTATAGATAAAAATATTTTTAAAAGCTCTGAAGTTTACAAAAGCTCTAAAGTTTATCACTATTGTGCTCAAAATACTTCAGCAGTTTTCATATCATCTGATTAATTTTGGAATCTTTAGCCTGTTATTTATTTTAGGTTCCCCTCAATGTGCTTATATTTTCAGGTTTAAACCAGTTGCCATCAAGTCATTTCCAACTCATACTGAGTCCCTATTTGTCATACTAGAACTGTGTTCCATAGGGTTTTCAGTGGCTGAGTTTTTGGAGGTAGATCACCAGGCCTTTCTTCCAAGGTACCTCTGGGTGGATTAAAACTGTCAGCCTTTCGGTTAGCAACCAAACATGTTAACCATCTGCACCACCCAGGGACTTTACGTTTCCAGCCTTACCGCCCGTTATATCTCTAGACCTAACCCATACTCTGGTTAAGCTGCCCTCCCTAACACTGATGATTCCACTAATACGCCTCATACTCTTCACTCTGTGCTTTTATTTATACTTCTACCTGACACTGCTACTAATCCTCATTTATCTTCTGTGATAAAGATGAACAAAAAAGAGCAAATGCAGGCTCTGGGCTTTGTTCTGGATCTGTTTTTCTCACCATAGAAAGATCTGTGGGCTGTGGGCTCACCTAGGAAGCTTAGCATTTCACGACCTTTTAGGTGTTCCTGTCTTGGCTCCTAACCCTCCTAGTTTATGTTAACTCTCACTAATGGCTTTAAGGGTGAAGAGACCCTGTTTTTACTTTCTAGAGTAGTGTTTCTCAGACTTTTTTGATCTCTGGAACTCTGTACATGCCTCAAAATTATTGAGGATCCTAAAGAACCTTTATTTATGTGAGTTAGATCTATCTGTATTTACTGCATTAAAAATTAAGTCTGAGAATTTTAGAAATACTTGTTTTTGTAACTCAGTAAAACTGGTGATAACAAACTCATTAGTTATTAAAATAAATAACATTTTTATGAAGAGTAAGTACTTTCCAAAGCAAAATATATGTATGTGTGTGTGTATATATATACATATATATATGTATATATATTAGTGAGAAGGGTGACATTGTTTTACATATTTGCAAATCTCTCTCAATTTGTTGAAGTACCACACATTAAGTAGCCTTTGAAAAACTGCACTGTCCACTCATGGGAGAATGATTGTGAAAAAGTCAAGCATTTTAATATTATAAAAATAGTTTTGACCTTTTGTACCCCCTGAAAGGGTCTTGGAAGCCCCCACAAGCTCCTGGACCATACCTGTAACTGCTGTTCTAGGAGTTCTAGGAGTGTAGGGTCAGAAGAGGATGAACTGCTCCACCTTGACTTAGCTATCAAGATCATCTGTGTCTCTGGCACCCTAGGTTGGAATTCTGAAATGGTGGTTAGGTTCTATATAATGTTAGAACTTACTGATGAAATGTTTTTTTTATTACAGGCTCACCTAGGAATCTTGCCATCATTTATAACTTTGTTTTTATGGGAAAATAGGTTCAAAATCATAAAAACTTTTAAATGTCTCGTAAATTTAAACCAGCCTAAATTACTTTACATTTAAAACTATTATTTCGCAATTATTTAGTCTTTTTACTATCACTCCCCTGCCCTTTTAATATTTTCCTCCTTCCTTTGGTATATGATGTACTCTTCCTTGCCAGAGGCTGGGATGAATGGGTTAAAATTTGGCATCCGTAGAATTAACAATATCATAATGATTAGAAATTAGAATAATGGGACGATTTCAAGTCTAGAAGAAGTTTTTTTTAAAAACTGGAGTTACTCATTTGATAAGTTTGAACAGGTTAAGTGACTTCATATGAGAAAGTATTCTATGGGATTTTAAAATAGGCCTTTTGCAGTCTCTTGCCTGTGAGTTTAGAATATCAGTTGTTAAAGCAGCATTTTTACTTCTTTTCTACAGTAATTGCTGTAAATATTTTCGTAAAAACTATTCGTTCTTTAAATAGTTAACATGTTAGTGGATTGGAAGTCTTTTTAAGTTTGAGTTTTCATAAATATAAATAAATTCAAAATTTTGGTCACTTTCCTACACTGTTATCCATGTTAAATTTTGTGGAAGAAAAAACTGCATTTTTTTGTCTCTTTTTTTACTGCAGTCCTCATTTGTTGTTATGTGCCCTCAAGTCGGTTCTGACTCATAGCGACCCTATGTTCAACAAAACGAAACTGCCCAGTACTGCACCACTGTATCAGCTCATCTTGTTGAGGGTCTTCCTGTTTTTTTCTGACCCTCTGCTTTACCAAGCATGATGTCCTTCTCCAGGGACTGGTCTCTCCTGATAACACGTCCAAAGTAATTGAGATGAAGTCTTGCCATCCTCACTTTTAAGGAGCATTCTGGCTGTACTTCCAAGACGGATATGTTCGTTCTTCCGTCAGTCCATGGTCTATTCAGTATTCTTCACCAACACCATAATTCAAATGCATCAATTCTTCTTTGATCTTCCTTATTCATTGTCCAGCTTTCATATGAGTATGAGGCGACTGAAAATACCATGGCTTAGGTCAGGCGCACCTTAGTCCTCAAAGTGACATCTTTGCTTTTTAACTCTTTAAAGAGGTCTTTGGCAGCACATTAGCCCAATGCAAAATGTCATTTGATTTCTTGACTATTGCATCCATGGGCGTTGATTGTGGATCCAAGTAAAATGAAATCCTTGACAACTTTAATATTTTCTCCGTTTATCATGATGTTGCTTATTGGTCCAGTTGTGGGGATTTTTGTTTTCTTTATATTGAGATGTAATCCATACTGAAGGCTGTAGTCTTTGATCTTCCTCGGAAGTGCTTCTAGTCCTCTTTACTTGCAGCAAGCAAGGTTGTGTCATCTGCATATCGCAGGTTGTTAATGAGTCTTACACCAGTCGTAATGCCATGTTCTTCTTCATACAGTCCAGCTTCTAGGATTATTTGCTCAACATACAGATTGAATAACTATGGTGAAAGGATACAACCCTCACACATACCTTTTCTAATTATAAACCACGCAGTTTCCTCTTGTTCTGTTTGGACGACTGCTTCTTGCTCTATGTACAGGTTCCTCAGGAGCACAATTAAGTGTTCTGGAATTCCCATTCTTCGCAATGTTATCCATGATTTGTTACGAACCACACAGTTGAATGCCTTTGCATAGTCAATAAAACGTGGGTAAATATCTTTCTAGTATTCTGTGCTTTCAGCCAAGATCTATCTGACATCAGCAGTGATATCCCTCATTTCATGTCCTCCTCTGAATCCAGCTTGAATTTCCGGCAATTCCCTGTTATTTCTATGATAACCGTTTTGAATTATCTTCAGCAAAATTTTACTTGTGTGTGATATTAATAATATCGTTCGCTAATCCCCACATTCTGTTCAATTACCATTCTTTGGAATGGGCACATATATGGATCTCTTCCAGTCGATTGGCCAGGTAGCTGTCCACGGGTATAGTTGCCGTTTATGTTGTTGAAAAAAGGTATTGCCAGTGAATAAGTCATTGGTCTTGCAAAATCTATCATGTGTTTTCTGGCATTGTTTCTATCACCAAGGCCATATATTCCAACTACTGATCCTTTTTCATTGTTTCTGACTTTCGCATTCCAATCACCAGTAGTTATCAAGGCATCTTGATTACATGTTTCATCAAATTCAGACTGCAGAAGTTGGTAAAAATCTTCAGTTTCTTTGTCTTTGACATTAGTGGTTGGTGCATAAATTTGAGTCCTCCTTATGGTGGTATTTAAGTAAAGGTATCTTACCTGTTTAAGACTTGAGAGATGTCCTGAGCTCACTTCTAAGAGCCAAGTCCTTTTAATTTTAGCCCTAGCCTTTGACACATTCATTTAACTTTGAACAGACCCAGTACTTCTGCTTCTGATTTAATTTTAAAGTCTGTCTAGTTTTCCTTTAGAGATAGATTTACTTTAGAAGTGTATTTTTTGCCACATGCCATACTTCTGTTAATCTTACATTCTACTCATAAGATGACTTGTTCTTCTGACTTAGTAATCTTTTTTCACATGCATAGTTAATTAACATCCATGCAGGAGAACCAGGTTTCCATTCCTGGTCCGTGCACCTCATAGTCAGCCACCACCTGCTTTTCAGTGGAGTCTTGTGTTTTGCTATGATGCTAAACGGGTTTCAGCAGAGCTTTAAGACTAAGGCCAGGGAGAAAGCCTGGTGCTCTACTTCTGAATATCAGTCAGGGAAAACCCTGTGGATCACAATAGTCTAATCTGCAACTGATCACAAGATGACACGGGACCAGGCAGTGTGCAGTTATGTATGTGATTGCCATGAGTTGGAGACCAGCTCAGCGGACAGCTAACAATGACAACGACAATGTAATTATTAACAAGATTACAGTGGCACTGAAATTAAAATCCTTTGTTTATATAGCTGGTTTATAATTTTAAAAAATATACCTTTTTATATTTATATTAGAAATTTTATTTCAAATTATTTTCCTTGTTCTGAGATGATCATGTAGACATATTTATATGTGTAGACATATTTATATGTGTAGACATATTTATATGTGTAGACATTTAATGAACATCTCTCCATTGAGTTGAAATACGGTTAAACTTATGATTAAATGTGATAGTTTGGACATAGTAACATCATAGCACTTGTTTAGCTAAAAGGGACCTTCCTTAGAGATCATCTAGCCCAGTAGTTTTCAAGTGAAGTCTCAAGCGGAAATACCGTCAGCAGAACAGATAAAGCTGTAAGGGGATAGTGCGATTGGGAAGTAGAGAATGAAGCTCATTTGACCCAACAGTCCATACTGCTTACCCCTCTTGTCCATGGATTTAAAGGAAAACAGTTTGGAAACAACTAATCTCCTCAAAACCCCTCATCATGTTAGAAACAGCTGATATTGTCAAACCCCCTGTTTTTTAGATGAAGA